GAGCAAGCGTCTTTTAATTTCTTGGCTGCAGTCCCCATCTGCGGTGATCTTGGAGCCCAGGAAAATAAAATCTGTCACTTCCCCATCTATTTGCCAGGAATTGAGCGGGCCGGATGCCATGATATGTCATATCTTCATAGAAATACGATAAAGCATGTTAAGACACCATCACTGAAGAAATTTAACCCATTTAAATTTTTACCTTCCCATGCTGTCAAATGGAACTTTCTAACTCAAATTGTCTCATTTTTTTTGGTCTTTCTCCCAATTATTTTGCTGCCAAACTCCCAGGCTTAATTTTGTTTCTTAGGCATTTCCCTCCCAAAAAGTTTTTGGATGCGATTCATGTCCCTTCATTATGTCCTAAGCAATAAAAGTAGACATTGAGGTCCATTAAGGAAGCTGTTTTCTTTAGTTATCTGATTCCTTTTTAATGTGTTGATGATGTAGTAACATTTAGGAGTTCTCTTCAAACTGAAGATGCAAACAAAAGTCGAAACTTCTGAAAAGCTGCACAAATAAGGCATTTTTCGTTTTGGTTATTTTAAAAAAGTAGGCTCCGTGTGGAGCCAATTAGAATATTGCTGTACATTTGTAAAAATATATATATTTTTTTACTAAAATATGAAAATGAAAAACAGCGCTGAGGTTAAAAGGCAGTTTATTTCGTTTTCACACCTTTCTCAGGAAGTAACTTTTTAATAGAATACAATGCTTTTAATAGACTAGAATGCAATGCTTTTAATAAAATTGTAAAGTACCCGGAAATGGAAAACATCCAAATGGTTTTAAAAGGCTGTGAACTAATCCTTAAGTTTTGACTTTGCTTGTCTTACGAATGATTATTTCCTAAGAATGATTTTAAATAAGAACACTTTTTTTTTCTCGGTGATGTTTGTTGGCATAATTCCTACCTCTTTCTTCCTTATAACAAACTTGGGAGGTTAGTCAGTCCGCGAAATGGGACTGGATTAAGATCACTGAGTGGGCTCCACCATTAAGTTGAAATTTCACCCTGATTCACAACTGTGAAAAAAAAACAACAATTATCTTTGTTGCTGTTGTTGTTAGTTGCGAAGTCCTGTCCGATCCATCGCGGCCCCGTGGACAGCGTTCCTCCAGGCCTTCCTGTCCTCTACCATCCGCTGGAGTCCATTTAAGCTCACGCCGATTGCTTCGGTGGCTCCATCCAGCCACCTCCTTCTCTGTTGTCCCCTTCTTCTTTTGCCCTCCATCCTTCCCAGCATTAGCTCTTCTCCAGGGAGTCTTTCCTTCTCCTTAGGTGGCCACAGTATTTGAGCTTTGCCTTTTTGTTGTCGTGTGCCGAAAGTGTGCACGATACCCCCCTGCGTGCCCCACCCCCTCCTCATGCACTCGTGACCACCTGTGCCCCGTTCCTAGTAGCGCTCCTGGGACCAAAAACAGGCCACAGGGGGGACTTCCCCCAAACTCCCCTCCCCGTGTGCATCCGTTCCCCCTTCCCTCCATGTGCATGCGCACATGTCCCCTGCATACGCCCTCCCATGCATGAGTGGCAGAGACCCAAAACTCAGCTGGCCAGCGGGAGGCACGCGTGCATGCACAGTGCTGCTGAGCTGGGGCGATGACTCACCTGTGGCCCGCATGCCATCGGTTCGCCATCACAGCTATAGTTTGTCCTCAGCTTACAACAGTCCTTCTAATGACCGCTTGAAGTGACAGGATTACAGAAGAAGTGACTTATGACTGTGATCACACTTAAAAACCATTGCAAGTGATCAAAATTCAGAGATTTAGCAACTGACTCTTAATTATGACCGTTGCAGTGTCCCGGGGTCCTATGATACATTTTTGCGACCCTCTGCCCGGTGAAGTGAACGGGGGAAGCCAGATTCACTTAACAACTGTGGTGCTCACTTAATGGCTGCAGTGATTCCCTTAGCAATGGCGACAAGGAAAGTCGTAAAATGTGGGTAGATGCCTGAGATCTTGATGGACTGTATTGTTTTTTTTTCTCTCTCTCTCAGCTGTATGGAAAATAACAACTTGAAATATTTTTTTTAGTGGAAGGGAACAATCACCTTGCTGGTTGACACCTCCTCTCCCCCCGGGGTAGAGACGTTGAAAACAGCATGGGTGGTGCTTCACAATTTTGAAAATGGGGAAAAGTTGATCTTGTCTTTTAAAATAAACAAGAGTAGAGGCGGTAAATCAATTGCCTTGCATATGGTGTGTTTGTTTTTTGCAATGTGCAAAACTTTGCCTAACAGCCAGCTTCATCATAACAGGCTGACTTCAAATCACACATGTTTATTTCAGGTGACTTCACCTTTGACACAAGCGCCTTACAACTTCACGGAAGTTTCCCAAAAAACAATCACTAACTTGTCTTTTTCCTTTCGTTTGCCCCTCCGCCTGGCCTGCTTTGCCTATGGGCGTCGCGCGTTGTGTGTTCTGAACAGCCGTTTCCCTATAAAAGTTGCCCTCTTTTTTCTTTTTTTGCCCTGCTGGTTTTCCTGCACTGTCTCTTTAAGAAACCAGCCTGTTCAGCATTGCCTTAACCTGCTGAACCTATCTTGCTAGCAAGGGAAAAGTTCTTTAAATAATAGATATTAGCCTTTACCAATTAGGATTATAAGCTTTGCAAACAGGGTGGAGTTTTCCCAGTTTGGCCAGTCATGTTGCAGAAAGGTGGAGCTTGTTGCAAAAGGATAGGCTGCACTGGAGTTACAGCTTCCACTGAAGTTAATCTGGGGTGAAGCAAACAGGAAAAAAAAAATTGTGCAGAATTGTTGGGTAGGCTTGGTTCTTTTTTATGTTGTTGTCGTCCGTTCGATTACTTGTTTGTGTCCCACTCGCGGGGGACCCTTGCGTTTCTGGCTGCCTGTAGCTTCGCTGCTTTCCCGTTGCTTTGGCAGGCTGTGAAAATTAATAGGGGGAGAAGCCGAACAAAAGGGATCTTTTGGAACAGGAAATCAGGTGCCCAGAAACAAACTTTTGTTTTCCCCCCTGGGGAAACTTCCTTAAAAAAGAGAGAGAAAAAGTTGAGTCAGGGAGAGGAGAGAGTTGAGTTTTGCGGTGTTGCAAAACTAACAGGTCTGTTATGGGATGACAGGGCAGCTCTCGGATCTGTGCTTTTTAAAGCGTTTCCCTTTTTTGGGGGGGGAATCTGGTGGGGTTGTTTTTTGGGGGTGTGGTGGGATTGGGTGAGACGGGGGCTTTCTTTCCAGAGGGTTTGTAAAGCGAAACTCTTCCTAGGGGCTGTTGTTGTTTGTTGTTTCAGCTGGCCTGGGGAATCTTTTGGCCAAAACAAACCTGGAGACAGTTGAAATAACAGAATTTGTGGAGCGCTTTTGGGGGTTTGTAAACAGCTCGAGTCGTGAACCCAGCTGGGCTGGGGTCATTTCTCCTTTCAAGGCTGGTTTCTTTAACGGAGATGGAATAGGAGACCTCCCTTCCTTCAGGTGTATCATTTGGGGTGTTGGCTTTGAAACCTGTACAGGAGTGGGGGAGCTCGGTGAGAATAGCAGGAAATTGCAAGAGGGGGAAAAAAAAGAATATATAGTGTCTTACTTGAGAGGTGGAGATGTGCAGCTTGGTGGCCGGGCTTAAATCAGACGATAAATACTGTTATCTTTTGCTTGGAAATTACCTATCCCTTACAGGTAGTCCTCAACTTATAACCACTTCATTTAGCGACCCCTCAAAGTTCCCCCCAAAGTGACTTTTCGATTGGTTTTCACACTTAACAACTTTTGTGATATCCTTGTGGTTCATGCGGTCAAAATCCAGGCATGTATTTATGGCATTTTCCCAGGGTCACATGATAACCGTTGGTCATCTTCCCTGCTGGCTTCCGACTGGTCAAATCCATGGGACGGGTGGGCAGAGCCAGAGTCACTTAATGACCGCACAATTCACTTAACAACGGTTGCGATTTGCTTCACCGTGGCTAAAAAAAGAGAGAGAGAGCTGCCACATGGGGCAAAACTCCCCCAACGCGTGCTTTGTTTAGCAACAGTTGTTGTCGTTAAGTCGAGGACTGCCTGTGCTCTTTTGAGTGAAGCTGCCTAATTTGGAAGCGGCAGGAATGTGTAAGAGGATCTACCACCGTGTGAGAAGGAAGTTGCCGGCTTTTTTCATGCCAGAACAAATGTGTTGTCACGTTTTCACGAAATGGCCTATATTTCAGCTTGCATCAGCCTTGTCTTCTCTGGGATAAAAGTCAGGGATTTGGGCAAGGAAGGGAGATGCCAGCTGTTTGGAGCAAATGTTTTTTTTTTTTTTTTTTTTTAATATCTGGAACGGTATCTGGAGGCCATGAAAAGGACCAGCTGTCCTTCAGTTGCCTACCCCAAGGTAAGGAAGTAGTAGTGTTGGTGGCAACGGGACATGTTGACAATCAGATCTGAAGAGGGTGGGGCCTTAAGCCGGTGTTTTCCACTCTCTGAGAGGCCTCCCAGTGAAGTCAGTGGAAGATCCCNTCCCAGCTTCTGCCAACCTAGCAGTTCGAAAGCACGTAAAAAATGCAAGTAGAAAAATAGGAACCACCTTTGGTGGGAAGGGAACAGCTTTCCGTCTGCCTTCGGTGTTGAGTCATGACCACGGAGAGAGACGTCTTCGGACAGCGCTGGCTCTTCAGCTTTGAAACGGAGAGTAGCACCACCCCCTAGAGTTGGGAACGACTAACACATATGTGCGAGGGGAACCTTTACCTTTACAGGAAGCTATTTGTCTAATGTGTAGTCCAAGTGTGATCCACACTTAATTGTATTTTCAGGAGATTTTTCCCCCCCAAAGGATTATCTTTCAATACTATTCTCAGGTCATTCGTGTCAGGAGGCATTGTAAGATGTTCCTATTGCTCTACTGGGGTGTTGTCGTTTTTAAAGAGATGTTTACCTGGATTTTTGCCATCTCTTGTCTTAGCTTGGCAAAGGGAACACATGTTTATGGAAAAGGAACACTTCAAAAAATCTCATGTTGAGATGCCAAATCAGTAGTAGATGAAGCATCACTTAATTAAAACAATCAGTTGGATTTAGACATCAGTTGCTCCTGTGTTGACAAAATAACAGTGTAATGAGATATTTTTATTATTATTCTGAAGCGGCTTAATAAGCTGCTTTGTTATTTGATAGCTGGGTTCATGCATCTTGAGGAAGCAATTTTATTTTTATTCTATTTTATGGGTCACCATGATCTTGCTGGTTTTATCTGCTTTCTCGGTGACGAAAACTAGCAAGTTGGAAGTCAAAGGGAACAACATAGGAGGTGCACGGTTTCATTTCTGGATTTTTTAAAAATTTAATGCTGTTGTTTGTTGAAAAAGCAGGTAAATGTTTGCCTTCCATTTATTTTTCTTCCTGGGTAAGTAGCTGGTTTGAGAAGAGGAAATGGGAAGTTGGGAATAGGTTAGAGCTGTTTTCCGCTAAATTATGCTTATGCCCTCTTTTTAAAAGGTAGAGAAACAAAAAATAATTCTGATTTGTTTTTGGTTGGTTGATCATATCTTACAGTACTTTGTCCTCTCATGGTATGATAACCTGGAGCATAATAATAATAACTGTTTCCAGTTTCTATAATTTAAAAAAACGAAATACTCTACTGAATTGAAACTGCTTAAAATTCGTTCAATATATGCATTTGATTTTTTTTTAAAGCAAGTAATTGTCTCTTAGGGTTAAAATTCAGTTTTTAATACTGCTAGCAAAGTAAAAGTAAATAGGATTGACCTGGCATATGTCAGGTCCCAATATCTATGGGGCTGCCACAAAGGAGAGGGGGTCAACCTGTTCTCCAAAGCATCTTGAAGGCAGGAGAAGCAGCAATAGCAATAGCAATAGCAATTAGACTTATATACCGCTTCATAGGGCTTTCAGCCCTCTCTAAGCGGTTTACAGAGTCAGCATATTGCCCCC